ATGAGCGTCAGCTGCAATCGCCTTTGCCCAAACCCCGGAACCAGACGAGCATCATGAGCATCAGCTGCAATGGTCTTTGCCCCAATCCCGGAACAGGGCCAGCATCATGAGCATCAGCTGCAATGGTCTTTGCCCAAACCCCGGAAATGGGCCAGCATCATGAGCATCAGCTGCAATTGTCCCTTGTAGCCAATATCCGTATAATTACCCGAAAACCTCTTGCAAAGCTAAGCAATTGCACATAAGCATTTCATGCAAGATGCTTGCGAGCACTGGTGCTGTTCTGGTCCTGACGGATGGATTCTGAATTGGATTCTAATCAAACTCCCAAGGAAAGAACAAGCTGATGCTAGTCAGGTTTCTTTACACGCATGAGGCCTGATCTAGCTTGGGGTCATCTGCTGCTTGGTGGCGCGGGCTGTGTAGAGTTTGGTTCTGTTGTCAAGCGGTTCTTCACAATCCCAATATGTCCAAACAAAGACTTCTGCCGACTTAGGGCAGCAATACAACAAAGCACTCCCACAATCTCATGGATGTCCTGCAAGAACTGCGAGAGCTCGCTCACGCAAGGATGCCTGCATGGAGTAGGCGCAGTATTTGTTTTGGTGTAGGTGCAGGTGGGACCGCATGAGCTTCCAAGGATCTGCAATATGTCTGTTGTCTTGACAATGTTCCCACCATACTTGACTTTAGCCACTCCGAACAGACGCGAGCCTGAGCTCGCGGTCCATGCAGTGCAGCTGCTTCGCATCCTCGTCAAATTCAGAAGGGTTGATTGACACGGCGCCGAGTCTGGGGCACATGCGGAACTGTAGGAACATGAGAAGTCCCGATGTCCTGGATCCCTGTGTAAGCGTGCTTGGCGTATGTTCTCAGTATAATGTTTGTTTACGTACACTGTCCACCCCCCCACACAGACCTTGCTGAAACCTGTCCTACGGACAACCCCATCTGTATCGCAGCATCCGGCTTCGGCCCACATTTGGCAGCCAGGCTGTAATCCCATTATAGTAGTTTCCATTTTCTTTTCCATGATCCCTATATAACCCCAATATAACCCCAATATAACCCATGATGAAACTAGGGACCACACGTGGGTGAAGAGCGCATAGGGGGCCTTGCTCTGGCCAGTGGCAGCCTGTGGCTACCAAGATCAGCAAGCATCATTCTGCGCAGAACTATCGTCGCGTTAATGGAGAAAAAGAAAATGGAAACTACTATATTAGAATAAGGAATATATTGGGGTTATATAGAGGGAATGGAAAATGGAAACTACTGTTTAAAAAGCTTCCTTCCCTCTGACCTTGTGCAGAGCAGCAAAAATGGCTTGCCAGCGCATAAGGTCAGAGGAACTTCCGAAAGGCTTGGGAGGCACCCGACCATGCAGATTCTTTTCTGATAGAATTCCTGCATGGCCCCGGTTGTAGCTTCTTCCACCGGCCATTGAAGGTATGCTTTGGGTGAGTGGTGCCACGGCTGATTAGGAGTTTGTGTAATCACCGTACAAGTTAACATATTCCCGGGACCGTAGGATAACGCAACCCCAAAAAATGAGGACCGAGTTAATCAGGGCAAGAAAGCCCCATCGTGATATCTTGAGCTGCTCTTGAGCTGCTATCAACGCCCGAAAGTGGATGCCTCATTTGTGGAAAGCTGCACGATGCAACATTCCAAGTGTCCACAAATACTTACCCTCCCAGATGAACGGAAAACTTGCAGGCTTGCAACAACAACTCACGCCCCATCCTTGTGATTCGGAGTTGAGAACCTAATTTGCAATCCAACGTTAGCCATCCCGATTGTTGAAGCAATTCTTTGCAGCCTCTTCGTGAGATGCCTTTTGGCCAAAGAGGCGTCCTTGGCTGGATTGACCGGGACTGACCGCATCCTTTTTGGCTTCCATAAGCATGAGAATAACGGTAGGAGCAACGATAGCGCTATAAGCACGAAAGTGACAGCAATGATGGCGATGGTGGAAGGGATGACATGATAATACGGCTAAGCGTGGCGACAGGAACCGCCGAACATGATGGCGACCATAATAACAGTAAAGATGAGGAAGCCTGCCATAGTTGCCATGATCCAGATGAGAATGATGGCAATGATCATCCTGATGACGCTATTGAAACAAGAACGCGCTGATTTGATGTTCCATGGTATCGGGCTGCAGAAGCGCTGAATTGCTGAACCTCGTTAGGGCCTTTCCTTGGCTTAGCAGTCGGCAATGACCCTGCAGCTAAACGTTGAAAATCGAATCTGTGAAAGACACGAAGCTAAAATCACAGAAAGCCTAGCATTTCCTGAAGAAGGGCTGCCACATTGTTGTTGAAGAGGCAATGTCTAAGCGGGCCTGCAACAAGACATGCTGGGCCTTGCCTGAAAGGGATGACGGGTTCACAAGAAGGAGTTCCGTGACAAAGACGAGTAAATTCTGGCCAAACATGCAGGAATTCTTAGACATCAGCACACATGCTCCAAAGCACCATGCACATCTCAAAAACAACCCCCTAGATGTGGCAGGCCAAGCATCCAATCGACTGAAAGAGATCAAAGCTGGCAACAAGCCGGCAGAAAGATAGCAAGACCTAAGTTGGGGGTTCCCTAAATCCAGGGAACCTTTTTGGGGCCCTGGTCCCCATGATAAGGATTCTGGGGCTCCTCCCCGATTTTGGGAAACTATCCTTTGGTCGCAGTCGCGAGAAAGCTCTCGGCACGGACGCTGCAACCAAAGCTAGCTGGCAACTTCTTCAGAGTGCTGTGGATGTAAGATTCGCCCGCGAAGGCTGTACAAACTCGAGAATTCTGCATCGGGCACAAAAAGCCTAGATGTCCTATATCCTATCTCTAGATCTCCTTTGAACCTTTTCGGAGGAAGTAGGCCTGCTATGATCCCTTTGGCAGACACAACATACAGCATGTCAGCGCTTTTGTAAAGCCAAGCCTCCCTGGATCATGACAACAGGCTCTACATGTCCGTCTACGGCATGACCCAGCTCATGAACCTAGGAATGAAGGAATGGAAAAAGAATGCGGAATATCCTATGCTACTGGGGATTATGCAGGTACTGTTCAGTAAAGCATGCTTTTCTTCTAAGGCAGAAAAATCTGTAGCAAGCTCACAAACTGCTTGGATGTCCGAGTGGCTTGGAAGTCACTGGCTTCACGACGCAAACCTCATGCTGCCTTCTTTAGGCCTGTTCAGCTGCGCATGCTCACCAAGCCCCTGGCAATTTGTACAAGCGTGGCACCTGAATCTGGGCTAAGGGTTGGGGACATTATTAGGGTACTGAGAGTGGTTGGAGCAGCCAAGGAACGTTGGGCGTTAGAGTCCAAAAAGAGTAAATGGACAGCCATGCATTGTCTCTCTTCTGTCGATCTTGTTCTTCTGAGTAGCAATTTTTGTTCAATGTTCTTGCTTTCCCCCTCTTGTTCAAGTCCTCCTCTTCGATCCCTTTGCTGTGGAGCACTGCAGGCCCATGTCTTACTTGTCGTTCCACAACATGAAGGTTCGTGAGATGCTTAAATGCTCCAGTAGCGTCAGGATCTCTACTTCTCTTGCGTGATGAGAGAGGTTCGGCTGAGGAATCTGGATACGTTGCCCAACTCTGAGGCGCGCTGCGTCTGTTTCAAGAGGTTGGTTGAAGGTACTGGTTGGAAATACCGTTCGTTCTTAGAACTGTGATCTTCCCAAACTGGAGGCTGGACATCGAAGGAAGCTCTCCCGTACAACAGTTCATACAGAAAAGTGAAGAACTCATGGACCAGTTGCCTGTCCATTCTCTTATACATCTGTCTTTGTGAGCTCGAAGCATGGTGTGAAGACTCTGCGTGTTAGACACTTTTTAGCAGCTCGAGCACGGCCCCGAAGCAATCTGACAAAAGCCTTGGACTGCAACACCTCTGAGCCGACATTGAAACGTGTAGGCGGCTCATTTCTGGTCAAAAGTACGTGTCGCGGGAATGATATCGAATGTTTCGCAAGGCATCCTGCAAAATGAGGTTTAAAAACTACTCCTCAGATGTTCCAATGCTTTGCAGACGCGAGGCTGCCTGCAGTACATGCTTGCAACATGTAGCAACAAACCTGGCAGCACAGCACTGTGTGTCAAAGCGTGCTGAGACTTGCACGCATGGCGGCCACAAAAACTTCGGGCGCGCGTGACGAAAGTCGTAAAGTCTTCTGTGCAACTTGAACAGACTGATTGCATCTATAAACCTGCTCTAATCGCTGATTGCCGACCTCGACTCACCTGCTGCAGCCTCATGGCATTGTCTCATTTTCTGCGATTGAGCCACCCAGGTTGCATCCCCGAGAATAGCTGCAGCTGCTGTGGGAGCTGCTACATGCCCAGTCTTCGGACACTTGGACGTACGACACATCATCTCATGAGCTTGCTCAGTATGCACGAGGCTTTCAGCGGCAACGCTGAGCTTAGACAAGACAACTGAGAGCTAGGACCCTGGAGCGGGATTTTTTATCCAAATCATGATGCGCAATCAACACCCCTCACTTCACCTGCCGGCCAGGCTGGTCAGGGTTGCGAAGCAAAAATCAAGAAGGAAACCAAGGTTATGGGACTCAGGGCTGCTGAAGCTTGACACAACTTGCTGCATGCTGTGACAGCATTCGCGCAAGCAAGTCTGCTAGCACTGCGCTGCCTCATCCCATCGAAGTTATCTTGCCCGAGCTGCATGCTGCACTGTGCCAACCGTGCGGAAGAGGTCTTTTAGCTCCTTCAGGCTATCTCACTCAGCCTGCTTGGCAAAGCTTGAAAGCTGCATGCTTCAACGTAACGAGTCCAGTCTGCAACAATCCTACAGCAACCAACACCGCTCCTGCCACTGCACGTGCGCGGGTAGAAAGTCGACAATCCTTGGCTTTCCCAGGCTTGAAGGCTTAAGACTGGCTTAAGCAGTTCGGGGTTTGATCCTTGTATTGGCACAATGTTCCTGTCGGCTTGAAAGCCTGTCAGCAAATGGAGACCCAGTGCGCAAGCCGTGATGATATTGGCGTTAAAGCGGTCATGCTCAGCAGGGAATATTTGCGGAAGCCAAGGTGCAGTTTTCTGAGATCCGGTGAACTTTCGTCCTTGTAGGCATCAAGTGTAGGCTCCAGAGTAATGTAGATTTATTTGCATGGTGGGATAGCAAAAACAGCCCGTTTGCTCTAGACCTTGAACCCTCAGTTCGGCTAAGAATCCAAAAGTAGGGCCCTGCAGTACGTGATCATAATATGCTACAATATATTTAGCTTGTAAGAACCCGTACACTTGCGGCACATTTCCTAGAGAAACCTCTCTGAGTGGCAGTTTCTTCTTTACACTGGCAGCTGGGGAGACAGCAATCCGCACTGCAATCTCCTCGCGAAAGGCTCATGACTTGGGATAGTGCTTCAGCTGCCAGGATGATGTCACACTGATCGATTAAGTGTAAATACAATACATCGTCGTCACAGCAACAGGCAGGGAAGGAACGTCAAGCTGTTGTTATATAGACGTTCTAACATGTTCCCTAAAAAAAGTGACCTCCAATAAAGCCAACTCAACTAGAGTTACTAAAGTTGTTGCGAAGCTGGCAGAAATGGCATGGGCCTGCCTGATTCATGCAGCAGATCTTGCTACGGCATGCAGATGGTGGATGTCAGAATTGGACTTCGAGCAAGCCCCCAGGTTTGTGGAGCTCCGTTCGACTCAAAATCCAAACCTTATCAGAGAGAAATCTCTTGAAGCCCTACATAGTCTTCATGTGGCCTGGGACTCTTGCAGGACTCTTTGACAGTACCAGTTGCCAAACTGCTGGAGCCTGGCCGTCGACTTCGGCTCCATGTAGCTGCTGGGCGGCCTGTGGCGGGAGGTCTCGAGTCTTTTGGGAATGACGTGTTCTTCATGCATTACGCAAAGAGCGCGGTAGGCTCGAGGAGCCATGCGGGCTTGCTTTGTGGGAGGCGGTGCAACCTGTTGGTTCGCCTGGTCTACACATGGAGTCTGTCAGATAAGTCCAAAACTCGAAGATGAGATGTGCACACGGCATGGGGGCGAGCACTGCCAGAGTCTGTGCCACCACCATTTATCACCGCGGTAGAGGAGGCGGTTAATGATGCGGCGATAGCTGGTTCATGCTTGCGATGAAGACTTAGATGATCACGATGATCCCCATTACCTTCCCTTTAGGCCCTAGCCATGCGGATTACAGCCCAGCTTGGGCCAGACGAGTTCTTACCTTGATCACGGCCACGAGCTGCTCAAAGAAGGAAGCGTGATCCCTCAATCATGCAAGAACTGTTTCATGGACAGGCCGGGCCAATGCGTTCACACCCAGCAAGAGTACCAAAATTGCTTGCCATGGGAGGCCCGGAGCTGCAACAACGCCCAAAGATGACGACCGTCATTGCAATTCATTGCCCCAACTCATCAAAGGGCTCATGGATTTATAGCAAAGCCACAGATCACGGATGCTCTGAACTTAGCGTTGCCTCTTCAGCTTCCTCCGGGGTGGCCATCCAGACCTGCTTACTCTGACTGGCCCTCAAGGCTTCGCAAGATGAGATGGCCTGAGGCCAGGGCTTGAGCATTATGATACTGATAATATTCATAATGCTACTGATACTTCATAATGAGAATACTGATAGAACAACAACAACAACAACAACAAATAATGGCTAATTGTTGTCATCATGTGACTGCCTGTGTCTGAAGCGAAGTGCCATGCTTTGGGGATTTGGTTCTTCAAGGCTTCTGGCTGGACACCTAGTTGGAGGCCCGAGGTGATGCTGGCAATGCCGTACAAGTAGTTGTAGGGAGGCCTGGATCTTGATGGAGAAGGTTCTGCATTTTGTTTGAAAAATGCCAAAGAAAAAACAGTGTGATGGAACAAACCGCCATCTTTGATCCCTCAACCTATAAACCTCAGCCTCCTCATCATCAGACGCGATGTTTGAGGACATCTTGGGACATTGAGTCCAAAGAGCAGCACTCTTAGAACTTGACTTGCAGAATGTTTGCCTCTGATGCGTTGAAGCCCTGAAACCAGTGGCAGCCTCACCAGGCCCAAATACACCAGCATAGGCAACCTCCCCGCACTGGGCAAAGTGGCCTTTCAACCTCAGCTGCGCTGCCAACTCGACGTCCGCAGGCCGGGAAATCTCAAATCAGGTCTCTGGACTTGAATTGCTTCAGGTGGGATAGCCGCTGTCCGGCAAGATGGCAAATAGAAAGGTCAAGCTTCCAGGCCTAGCAAGGGAGCTTTTTGTCTTGGCCCTCTAAGGCATTCACTCAAGTTCGAGGTAGATCGGCACATCCGGACTTGAACACAGAGCCAAAGTCCGACACCATGGCAGTACCCCTCTCAAAAGCATCTATGTGCGTTCGCATTGGTATTATTGTATTTGCGCCCGAAGCTCCAAGTTCATGGCTCCAGACAGGCTGAGCATGTAGTGGTTGTTCCATTGATAGCCACGAGAAATTTATTCAATCTCTCACACATCCATGAACCCCACAGTTTATTTGACTTCTTTAGCCTCAATAAATTAAACTCCCACATTCAATTTGAGAAAGACACAAATCATTGAAGTTGGCCGGGCTTCCTGCTCTTGCCACTCCACCCCCGCCTCACAACAGGCATGGGGCTTCACAGAATTTGGGCATTTGGGCTGGGGATCTGACATGAGGAGATGTGGCTTCGGCTTTGGACAAGGGTGAGTGGCTTGTGGGGATACCACATCTTTAAGTATGCATGCTACCCGTGATAATGGCATCATCCGATGCTGCGGGCACGTGCGGACGTCGAGCGCTCTTCTGTTTAAAGCTGTCTAATTTCTGGCCGGTGGAGTCATGCGCATGATAGAACACGATCTCTACAGTGAAAGGCAAACTACCTCAACATAAACTTGACGGCTCACGTTCCGTTGTCCATCAGAAGAAACCAACACCAGTCGAGCCAATTAGTTTGTCCCACAGGGCTTAGAGTTTGTTGTTCTGGGGTCTCTGAATGCAAGCCCCAATAGTATGCTTTGATTTTCGTTTAGTTCCTTCATTCTCTACCAACAACCGGCAAGAGCCACTAAGTCCAATCCATCCCCATAAACCACGACCATGTCATTCCCTATTTGCTATTCCAAGTGACTTCTGATTCCTTACTAACAACCGCCTGAACCTCCGACAATATTGCAGTTTCTGTTTTCTTTTACGGTCCCTCCTTCCCTACTAACAACAACTACACCTTCCGTTTGACTCTCCATTCCCCATGAACAGCCCGCAAGTCTAGTGTCTAAACCCAAGGCCCTAAACTAAGCCCTAGACCCAAAATTATACTAGCTTATGTTTCCTCATTCTCTGCGAACGACCAGCAACATGACTCTAAACCCTCAAGGTCCTTCCGCGTTTAATGTCCATGTAAGTACTGCGGCGGCTGCCATGTCTTTCAATTCCTTCATTCACTCCTACCTGGACCCTTATAGCCTAGCACTTTCTCAGGCAATCTAACCTGTGTATATACCGCACAAAAAGGGAAGGATACAAGCGTCTAGAGGTTGAGCTTGGCTCAAGGACAAGAAGCAAAGAAGAGTTTATCACCTTCCCCTGGGAGTTGAGTGCTGGAAAGGCACAGGCAGGTTGGAAATCAGCAGCTTGGTACCATCCTGCGACCTCAGGTGTCGCTGCTGGTCACGAAGCCACTGTACTCAGTACCCGTTGCATTCCACTGTTGCACAGGGCAGTGTAGGGTCTCGGAAGACTAGCTCCAACCGAGCCCTGGAAGCCAGACTCCTTACAAAAAATCGTTCAACGATCGCCTTGTAATGCATGCTGGCTCCAGTCTCTACGCCGAAGATCCATCATTCTGACAGGAATAACACTTGACAGAGATGCTAATAGCTAATAACGCTACATCGCTCTGACGGCTGCTACGCTGACAGCGAAGCTCCAACGGTTTAGCCTTCATAAAAAAAGGCTACACAATGTGCATGAAGTTTTTCGGATCAAAGAAAGAGTGCTGCGACAGACATGTTAAACAGTACCACATGGTTGGCCTTGCGTCAGCGATGACGTTGATCTGCGCACCTTGCAAGTCTCAGCCCCCTCTTCTTCCCTCAAAGTACAGGTGCCGCTTGTCAACAACAATCACCACACCGACTGTTACTCATCCTTGCTCTGGACGAGGTAAACCCTGAAACCCACGCCCCAAGGCCATGTCAACGCCATGGACATGATGTTTATGAATTCTGAGCTGTTGCAGAAGGGACGGAGACCCCGAAACAGCCGTCCACGCCTAGAAGCGTGGTGCCATCAAGGGTCGCGATAGCAGCCTGTCATGCTAGGGGAGTTCTCAATTGCTGCTGACATGGGATGTCAACTCAGCCTATGGTAGCTCAGTGCCCTTGACAATCCAATCATGCTTACGCAAGGGCTGTTGTAGAAGGCGATCTGCTCGAATTGCAGATCTTAATCTGATCAGGTCCTCCGAATATGAGACAAACTCTTGACAAGGACTTCTGAGCCTGTAACGGACTCGGAACTGCGGGGGTGGGGGGACTCGGAACTGCAAGGGGAAGATTCGGAGCTTGCCGTTCGAAGAGGCCGGATTTTACGTCCACCCGCTGAAACTGTGTAGCAACAGCACAGACTGAACGATACTGGTGATAACCCTTGTATGGGCAGGCAGAACGCTGAGAAGCAGCGACTATACATGATTAGTCCAGCCGCCCCTTGGGATTCATGAGCCATTGAGCCACTTGCCAGTGTGAGATCATCACTATCCACATGATAGCATTGGGAATCTGTAGCTGCGAAGCAACTTGCCACTACCTGTGCATCGCTGACGTGGTGGTAGCGCACCTGAAGCCAGATCAGCATGGAAAAAATGCCAGCAACTGCTTCTGTGAAGAACCCACCTTGTACCAGTAACATTGTCTTGCAACGGCATGGGATCTTGTGCTGTGCAGTGGATGATGGTAGTTGCAGCCTGAGGTTGTCCCCAGCAACGTCTCTATGTGAAATAGCGGACTGGTGCACAAGGTGGCGCACAGGACACAGACAACACGTGCTTTGCCATGGCACATCATTCTCGTGCTACGGCGTCTTTGGCTACCAACAACCACTACCACATCCTCTTCCAATCGCGCTGTGTTGCTGAAAATGATTCTACATCGGACGCAGTGCCCAAAGCTGCACATGCTGCTGCACTTGATCTGGGTGACCATGCAATGCATGAAGCAGTCCTTTGCATAGCTTTCACAGGCCAGGCTTCCCTTAATCCCTGATTCCCAAACCCCCACCACCCATACACTCATAAGCCCAAACTTTACACCCTAAAACTCACGTGGAAGCCTCGCCGCAGGCTCCCTCCTCGCTGCGGATTTGGGCGCGAGACGAGCGCCCCTTGCCTTTGGCCTCAGATGATTCGCAAGACTGGGGCCGATTCAGGGAAGTTGCTGATAAGGATTCTTTGTAGTAGGAAGTCAAATGTGTTCATGAACATACACATGATCAGAATCGACTGCCAAAAAGGAGAACATACGAGTTCTTCTAAGCTTGTCCGGGGTCTGCAGGACGAATGCAAATGACGTCCAACCAGACTCTCATGTGATGGTGTGTTCCAAACACATCTTGAGGCCCTTCCAGAAGAAATGCATGTCATGTATAGGTTGCCGAACTAGTTATCCTTGCTAGCAGGGATCTGGCAGCCTTACGTGGGCAGGTAGAAATTCGATTATGTTGGTGAGGGGGTCTGGCAAGCGGGCTATATAACAGATTGCAACTCCGAAGACAGCTCAGACTTGCTGCAGGCTGATCGCCAGGCTCACTGCGCCACCTACTAAGCCATCGCATCAGAGAAGCGCGTGTTGGGGGCATATCACTTGCTCTTGCATACAAGCTTCTACAAATAGACTGCGCGGAGTAGCATCCCAGGTCCCAAGTTAGGATAGAAGCAGAGAGTCCCGGTAACCGAAATATCATGGAGTTCTGAGCCCTCATTGCGCACACGCTTCCGGTCCACACTGTGATCCCGGCCCCACCCCCTGAGGGAGCAGGAGGTCCATCTGCAGCACCTGGAGAGGACGAGGATTGCTAAATTCAAATAGCAGTTGCAGGAGCTACATACTGGCGGATTTCCATGAAAAAGTCCAGTTATTTGCACATATTTGCACCCTGCATTATCTTGTTACAGAATAAGCTGGCAGAAGTCAATGACATTCAACGAGAGCTTAGGACATCTCGCCCAGAGGCAAAATCTAGCCGAGATGGGTCCCTCAAATCCAACAAAAGGCAAGAAGCTGCGTCGACGCTTTTACCGCAGAGCAGGCGGGCAAGTCTATCGCATGCGACTATCTGGGACTCAACGGGTGCTTTGGCGCGTGGCTGGGTCAAATGATTGGGATGCTGCTAGATGACGCTTTTGAGTTGACGTTTTGGGGAACCCAAGGAATGGTGGCGGAACTTTCCAGGAGGCAACAGGACTGGCAAGAAGAAAGCAGGTCAGTGGACAGCCTCACGAACAAGAAGGACTACTGGGAGCTGATCAACAATTAGAACAAATCCGGATGTAGATAACATTTATTGACAGGATTCCTTGGGAGGCAGAGCCCGGTTGGACTCCATCAACGTCGGCAAAGAAGATGGATGCTAAACAATGACTGCTTCACTCTTTGAAGTAGGAAAAACGCATGCAGCAGCACCCATTGCCAGAAGCGTCATGGTGAGAGGTCCCCGGTGCCCCGGACTCTGAGCGCTGCAAGACTGTCGTTGATGCAGAGGCGGCAGGCTGTGGGTGCAGATCTTATCTTGGTGACAGGGTTCTGCCTGACAGGGTTCTGCCTACTCCCTATGGCGGTTTTAGTGGCCGACTTGCATACAACTTGTTTTTTGCTCCGGCTTAGCTTTCAAGATTTGGGGAGGCGGGGCGCATAGCTTTCCAAACTTCCACGTTTCGGGCGCAGCTTCAGACGGCTTTGGGGGCACCCAGGGAGGCCTCCAGCGCTTTGCTGCACGAGGCCTTGTAGGAGGACCGCTAACCTTTTATATTCAGCTCCTGTTAACCTTTTGTTAGCTCTGAGTGATGCAAGATGATGGCAAGGCCCTTGCTTTGAGCACCAGCTCCAGGCAACAGCGCGTTTAGTCTGGATACTAAAGGGTTTGGCTGACATTGCATCATGCGACTTCCTAGACCCGCAGCATCCTTCCCAAGCATGAATGAGACAAGGCCGCTGTTTTCCAAAGCTGCCCATGATTGCACCAATCGAATGTATTCAGCAAGCTGAACTGTTTTTTGCTGTCATTGTTGAACATCTAAGTTGAAAACTGAGCCTCGAGACACCCCCACGCCGAACAAGCGCTGCCAACCCGTGGACATCGTGAGTGAAGATCATGTACATACCTTAAATCAAGGCCATTTTGAAGCACAGCTAGGCTACGGAGCAGGTGGCGGATCTAAAGTCCTGGGAACCTGCTGGGTATGAGCGTCAAGCTTACAGCCTTTTGAATGCTGTTGAAGATTTCGATATTCGATTTCAGGCGAGAGATAGAGCTCTCCGACACATCCAGGTGTTCGGATATCTGAGTAGAGGTCCCCTCTTACTCTTGAAACCACAAATTCAAATTCAGGAGTCACGTACGGGGCCGCGAAACCACCTCCGGTGGCAAAGGGCTGCTGGCCGGTTGTTCAAGGCCGCCATTGGAGTTGCAACGGGTGCACTTGTGGTTCCCAAGTCTCATACCAATGGCTTATTGAGAGGCTCGCATCTGGCCTCCGACAATCATTACATTCCCGCGTCATGCGGTTTTGGTCCAGGTGCTTTGCTGCTGGTCTTGAGGAAGATTTGCATTGGCATGGACTCTAGTTGTAGAATAATCTGTCTGAGTCGTCAACAGAAACAGTCATTCGCTACATCCCACAAGGTATCATCTCTTTGGCCGCAGACTCATACAGTACTCCGCTGGCAACCCTGAGCAGCCCCGGGCAAGGTTGAAAAATTATTCATGTGCATGCTGGGCAGCCAAAACTAAAGTGCCCGAATTATGAGCACGAAGTCCAACATTGAGCTGGCCACATTCTCGCCGACGCTATCGCCGACAGAGACTACCCAACCGTACTGCCCTCCACCGGACCTCAATATGCGAGAGGGTGTTTGTGCGTGTGGGAGGTGCCTAGCTTGCCAGCACTGGCGGAGGGAATTACCAGGCGCAAGTTATGACTCTGCCGAGCCCTGTCGGCTCGTCTACATCCCTGGAAGGTCTGCGCAGCACCAGACTGATCATCGCCCTCTTGTCATTCGGAACATCAGCAAAGCAGCTCGGCCTTTGGTCCCCGGTAATCATACGCGAAGATGATTTGCAAAATCCTGCTGCTGCTGTGATTAGCTCTCACAGGCCACATCGCCAAAGAAGGATCATAATCGCACACGGCTAGGAGTCGGCCACTGCAGTGGCTAAGATTTGAAGATCGATGAAGGCCTACTTAACATAGATGCCTCAAAAGGTAGGCCGTGCTTAGCGATGCTTTGAAGAAACGGCGTCCATAGCCCATAACCACGCAAAAAATCCTGTTGCCACCCTTGATGCAGATCTCCCCTGGGCGCACAAGGTACACTAGAGAAAGTCTCTCGTGGCCTCAGCTCACCCAAGCTGCAGCCCAATCGCGAAACAGGACTTCAGAAGCCAACTCGTTGAACCCTGAAAATTAATTCCACATGTAAGGTGCTGGGGAAGCTGAGGGTATTGGGGTTTGAGTTCAGGCGAGGGTCTCAAGAGACTCTGAGTTCGATTTTCCTTCTCCCTCCTCTACCTCCTGCTTGCTTCTTTCTGCCGTCTCCTACCTGCAGACCTTGCTGATGCTGGTGCTCCCCTGTGATCCACCTTCCGCTCCGCGCCGCGTTGCCTTTCTGCTCCGTTTGGTTCCGTTCTGTTCCGCAGGTTGTTCTGCTGAAAATTAGAATTCTGTCCTCTTCCGGCTATGTTCCGCAGATTCCATTGGAGTTGCCCGTTCCCTTCCGGCTTCTTCTGGCTGAAGGCGCGTCCTCCTTGCTTTTTGGGGGAGATCACATTCAAGTCATACTCGGAGGGTGGGGATACCGCGAAGTTGATTCCACTTGATTCCATGGTCTAGGTGCGTAATCAGCTCGCTTTTTTAAGCACGCCCATATCTACAAGCTTGTAGGGCTTGGGTGGCCATTGTCAGGCAAGCATGCCTTGGCTCCACGACAGCACGGGGCAGGTCTGCAGCGCGCCAAGTTCAGCAGCTGATCGATTTTGTTACTTTTCAACACTTTGGCGCACTCCCGTCAGGCATGGAAACAAGCTCAGCACGACCAGATTCATGCTACTGGCACAAAACAAGCCACGGTCATCCAACGTGCTGTTAGGCACGAAGCGATATCCAAGTGGCTGCAAGATCTTAAGGGCTGGTCCCGACTTGAAAAGTTTGCAAGCCTTCACCGAATTAAAAGATCCAGCCCAAAATCCTGGGAAGCACTTAGGGGCAGCTTCTGCAACTGCTCGTGGATACCTTGGTTGTTTCGCTTGTCATTCCTGTGCCTCTGCTTCATTTTACGAACTATGATACCGTAGGAGTAGAAGTTTCATACTGGACAGCAAGGGTCGGACGTCATCGAGTGACTGACTGAACTGGGGAAGAATAAGACAAATCAGACAGAAGAAAGATGCCTCCAGGCCGAAAGCTGATGCTGAGCTTGAGTATGCCTGCGTTCAGACATGGCTCAAGCGCCAAACCTTGAATCAAATGCAACTTATTCAATTTATTTGCTTGCGCCCTTGTTTCTGCCCCCAAAGCTACAAGACCCAGAAACTGCAGCAGTCTAGTGCCTCCCAGGACACCCAGT